GGTGGCTGGGAGCCTGAGCCTAACGATGGCCCTGCCCTTAAGAAGACCAAGGAAGCAACTCCGGCCCATCCTACAGAGGAAGAGCTCGGGGTCACACAGGCACCTGTCACTCAGTAAACAAGGCCTCCTTGGAGCCAAGACTCTGACCTCTCCTGCCTCCACCCAGCCTGGAGCCCCCTCCCGCTGGCCCCGGGATCCTGTCCCATGGACATGGGCACAGGGTCATGACTGGGACGAGACTTGTGCCTGATGCCTACTTGAGACCGCCACACAAGCTAGTCATTCTTGGCAAGACAAAGACCACTGGGGCAGGGTGGCTCTGGTGTCTCCCGGGTGGGTGTCTGGCCTCTGCAGGACCCCAGTAAGTGGGTCCTGGTAGTCAGGCTCTGTGACTGGGTCCTGCAAATCAGATTAGCCCCAGCCAGCCCCACAACCCAGCTGGCTCCAGGGCAGAGTCACAGGAAGAAGCTCAGCTGCCAGGCTGGGGCCTCTGCCCTCCTAGTGTGGATAAATCCAGGCCCCAGAGCTGAGACCCTCTCTCTGCTGTCCCCTGTGGGCCCCTGGGGCTTAAATGAGGCCCTTGGAGGCCCATGACAGGGGTGCTGGAACTTTCCCCAGCAGGGTGGCCATGGTTCCATCACGAGTACTTGCCCCATGTGGCACCCAACAGGTCATCTATCCTCCCATCCTCCCATCCATCCATCTTTCTGCCCATCCATCCACCCATCCATCCACCCATCCGCCTATCTGTCTGTCCATCTACCCTCCCACCCACCTATCCATCCATCCATCCACCTGTCCACCCATCCAGCCATTTGTTTGTCCATCCATCCATCTATCCATCCGTCCATCCCCTCACATCTACTCAGTCAGTGTTTACTGAGTGCTTCCTTTGTGCCAGGCCCTGACACAGTGTAAGATGTGTCCCTGGCTTCATGAAGGCAGATGGGTAAACAGGCAGTTACAGCCTCAGGTGGCTGGTGCTCTCCGTGGGGTGACTTATGGGCTGGAGGACTTTCTGGAAGAGGCAGCACTTAGCTGGCTTGCAGCATTCCCAGACCAGAGTGCCCTCTTGAGCCTTTCCCAGCCTCCTAGGCCAAGTCAGACTGGCCCTAACAAGCCTAGCCACTCTGTCTGTGCCAGGGGCCAGGTCCAGACCCAAGGGTCAGGCTGCCAGTAGAAAGTGGTTGATCTATGCCTGCAGAGCACCATCCCAAGCCAGCTTGGTGGGCAGGGCAGGAAGGTGCCAACCACATCACTATTACAGCAGAGTAGAATCTGGAGCCCACAGGGAGATAGGAACTGGACCAAGACCACACAGCATGGGGCTCGGCAGTGGGTGCTGGGCAGGCAGATGGGGCTGGGACCAAGCGGGCCTCCGATCACAGCAGGAGGTTCCCTACCCCGCCTCCCAGCACAGCCATGGGAATCAGCCCTCCCCCAGCCTGTGCCACCGCTGCCTGGAAGCCATGGTACTTAGCTTCCCACAGGGCCCTGTCCCTCCCCTCCTGCCACAGTGACTGCTCACCCACAGGCTTTAGGCTGGGCCACCTCAGCCAGGCTGCTGTCCCCTAGGGGGTCTGCAGGGCCCTGGTACTCTCTCCTATCGGCCTGGAGTCAGGCATTCTTGGCTTGTCCAGTAACTGGCCCCCACATTCCTGCCTAGCTGTGCAGTCAAGGACTCTACCTTCCCTCTCTGGGCTGGGCTTCAGGTTGGGGGGAGGCAGGCCTGGGACATTGAGCAGAACCACCAGACCGAGTGATGATAGGCCGATGGGCTGCCTCGGATGACTTCCTGCCCAGTTAATAGCTCACCCATTAGGTCTCCACAAATCTTCCCAAGGCCCCTCTGGAGAGCAGCTGACAGCAGCCCCAAGACACCACCAGGGGAAGATGGCAGCCTAAAGCCAGTCCTGAGGCCCAAGGCCAGTGGGACTGACTCCGACAGGAGACCCCAGGCCAAGCCTGCCTGAGCTCAGGGGTCACACAACACTGCTCTGAGCCTGGTAGAGGGGCTGAGGGCCTCAGGAAAGCTGCAGGCCCAGGTGGCTGCCAGGATCCCGACTGGCAGGCTGTGCAGAGTGACCAGAGGCCCGGGAAGTGGGAATGCAGGTCTCTGGCCAGAAGGCCCTGGGCTGCTACTCTGTGGGATTCATTACCCACGAGTACCTTCAAAATGAACAAGGGCGGAGAATGTAGCTCAGTGGTATTGAACTTGCTTACCATGAGCAAGGCCCTGGGTTCAATTCCTAGCATTGAAAAAAAAGGTCATCATATTACAGTTGGGGAAACTGAGGCTCAGAGGAGAGGAGCAAGGTCATAGCCCAAGGTCAGCTGAAAGGTGGCCACTGTGGGTGGGTAGGCAAGAAGCCTGGCTATGCTCCTGGAATCCTGCCTGGGGCTGAGCCTTGGGACCATCCTCCCCCAGTCCCCTTCCAGGACCCCAGGTTCCCACAGGGCTTCCCAGCCAACCTGACCTTCCCTCTTTAGCCCCCTCCTAGATCCCCATTTCCGGCCCTGGGCTAAGCACCTCCCTGGAGAGCAGCTTCTGGAGAAAGTCTTGGGATCTGGGGGGAAGGGGAGGGGCTCAGGCTGGAGCTGGGCCTGGGCAAGGGCTGGGGGCAGATGGCTGGCCACCCCCTCCAGTTTTCAGACCTCAAGGAGTCACCACGAAATTCCATTCTCCTGACAGCAAAGAAATTGAATCACTCTTGCCAAGGCGGGCAGCCCCCACAAGAAAGCTGTAGTCTTTGTCCTGCTGTTCCCAGAACGGCGACCACAGCTGGCCCCCCCCCCCCCCCCCCATGCCTGGCTACAGGGATACTTGGGTCAATCCCCTCGGTACAGATACTCCTGCTCCGAGCCTCAGTTTGCTTTCTGTACAATGGGCACATTGCTCCCCATGGTTGGCATTCAAAAGCCACAGTGGCCAGGAAGCCAGGAGATGAGGGCCTGAGGTCGGAGGACTTGAGTGTGTCCCAGCCCCTGATTTGAAGGACTCTGACAGGTGGTTGTGGGTAGAATGGCTGCTCCCTGTTCCCTCTTGGCAGTTGGGCCCCCAGGGGTGCCTACTATTCTTGCCCTTGACTTGGGCAAAGGCACAGATTTCAGGGCCAAGCATGCTTGGGCTGTTGGGAAATGAGGAAGGTTGCAGAAGCAGCAAGAAACAGGGCTGGGACTCCCAGGAGGCGTGTGGACACCAGGTCAGGACTTTGAATCCACTGGTAAGGGGGAACCATGGAGGACTTGACCTTTCTGTGCACAGCGTGTGGGAGAGGGCTGGATATAATCAGAGCTGCTTGGTTACTGCACCGAGAATAAATGGGCGGGCAGGCTCGGGACAGGGAGATCCGGGTGCAGGGGAGACACGGCTGGGTAGAGGAGGCTCAGCCCCCAAATGATTGGGAAGCAGACAGGTGGGGATTGGGGGTGGGGGCGAGGACACGGAGGAGACCCTGAGGCTCAGACCGAGGCTGGCACGGGGCTGGCTCCTGGGGGGGGGGTCTCCTTTTCTTTCTCCTCACCTTCCCCAAGGCACCGAAGTTCCCCGGAGACTCCGGGGCTGGGAACGGTCTGATGGGGAGGAGTTTACAGCGGGAGGTGAGGCCATGGGAGACTTGTCACTTGGGCACAGATAGCACCATCTGCTCACAGGCATCTGCCTGCCCGAGGTGGTGTCTGCTAATTACCTGGGGCTGGCAGGAAGGGGCCTGGGAACCACTGCCCCCACCCTACCCCAACACAGAGGGGGCTGGGGGCCCACAGAGCAAATGGGCCAGAGCCTCTCAGTGGGGGTGAGGGGCAGGGCAGACGTCTATTCAGGAAGCCTTCCTAGAGCCCTACTATGGCCCAGGACCGGTCCCAGGCCTCCTAGGTCGGGGTTCCACAAAGTCTCGGCCCGTCCCTCCCCTCTGACCTTCAGGGGAGGGCCCATAACCGGGAAAAGGGACGAGCGCTGCGGACATAAAGTGGCCAGTGGGCAGAATGGGTGGGGGCTCAGCTCGGGGAGGCACGGTGGGGTGGGCGCACAGGGCCTCCTTGGTGGGGGCGCAGCCGACTGGAGAGCCATCCCCAGCTACGCCCCCCAGAACACGCTACGGGCGGGGGGGGGGGGCTCGGACCCTACGCCCGCTCCGGGGCGCCCGGGCCACTTCCGGCCCGTAGCCCCTCACCCAAGCTCCAGGCGCACATTCCTGCCGCCCCCGCTCGTGCAGGGGGTCGGCCTGGGCCCGTGGGAAGGGCCGGGGGTGGGGGCCGTGTGCTGGGGAGGCAGGGCGGGGCGGCGAACAGCTGGGTCACATCTGGCCGGAGCGCGGAGGGACCAAACGGGGCAGAAGGCAGCCTTTCATCCGTGAGGGAAGGGTCGGCCTTAGTTTCTCCTCTCCACGGGGCGCGCGCGTAAGAACTTCGGGAGGACCCCCACCCCCATACCCAGGCACTCGGCGAAGTTAGCTGGGCGAAGGGTGGAGTTCGGTGCAGGTGTTCTCGCTGGAACCTCGCCTTCCCACATTTAGGTGCCTAGCCTCCCGCCAGGTCATTAGAAAGACTGCCTAGATGGACGATCCTGGGGCCGCTTCTGTCTGTTCCGTCGCCTTGGTCCCCAGAGGAGGAAGCAGGGCTCGGGAGGAAAGGCAGGATATCCCCTGCGGAGCGCCCGAGCCGGAGCCGAGTCCCGGCACCCTGGCCGCAGCGCGGAGGGCGCGCCCTTGCGCGTGCCGCGCGCCGAGTGCAGCCGGAGCCGGCGCTGGCCAGCCTAGGTGTCCCCTTTTGGCGCATCCGGCGCGGGCCCGACCCGAGCCCCAAGCTTCCCGGAGGCCCGCGGGGACGACCCGGGCAGGGCGGGGCGTGCACGTGTGCCGGGGGGTTTAGGGTGGTTGCAGTTCCCAGCCCCCCACCGCGGCCCCACGTGGGCGCTTCCCCGCCCCCGGGAGGACCAGAGCCAATCGGCGCGCGGGGGGCGTGACCGGGAGCCGGCGTTTAAGAGCTCCGGGCTCCGGAGGCTCGCGGTTAGACGGCGCCAGACCGGACGTTGAGCGGTGGGCTCTGTGGGCCGCGCCCATCATGCTCAAGCGCTGCGGCCGGCGCCTACTGCTGGGGCTGGCGGGCGCGCTGCTCGCTTGCCTTCTGGTGCTCACGGCTGATCCGCCACCGCCTCGGGTGCCCGCCGAGGGCGGCCGGCGTGCGCTACACAGCCTGGTGGCTCCAGCGCCTGGTTTGGAGGCAGCGGCAGCGCCCGAAACACTCGCCCGTGAGGTGCACAGCCTGTCCGAGTACTTCAGCCTGCTAACCCGCGCGCGCAGGGATGCAGGCCTGCCGCCCGCTGGCGCTCCCCGTCCCTCCTATGGTCACCCGCGCGCCCCGGCCGAGCCTCTGGCGCCCCGCGATGTCTTCATCGCGGTCAAGACCACCAGGAAGTTTCACCGCGCGCGCCTCGACCTGTTGCTGGAGACCTGGATCTCGCGCCACAAGGAGATGGTGAGTCCTGGCGGTTGGGGCGGACAAGTGGGTTGGGGCGCGCCGCCTTGTCCAGCGGGGGCCAATGTCCTCTGGGGATCAGCTGCATCCCTGTTACCCACCTAGGGGCCGGTTACAGCGATCCAGCCCCTTTGAGCCCTGTTTACTTCCTGGGGGCTACTGTCGGTGCAGTTGTGGGAGTGTGGGAGCCCACCCTTGGTAGACTGCAGAACTCTGGGGGCTGCACCGACCCTACAGCAGCCTTAGAGCTTGGAGTTGGTACTTGTGATGTTGCTCTCCAAACTGCAGCGAGTAATGGGCCCTAATTTTCCCCAAACCTCCCCAATCATGTTCTGCTCCAGCCCATTGGGAGACACCCCCGCCCACCCCGACCCTTTCCTGGGGAGGAGCGCACCACGCCTTGAACGTGAGGGGAGGCCATAGGACCTCTGGGCACAGGCCCGTACTCATTTCAGTGTGCTGTAGTGTGGGGGCCAGTCACTGTTGGCTGGTGGGCCCTGGGAAGTACATCTCAAAAGAAGATGGGTTTTGGGGTCTGTGGAGATCCTGTCCCCTCACACTGGAGACCCTGAGGCCCCGATTTTTGCGCTTTCCTCTCCCATGTGGGCACCGTGTTCCTGGAGGTAATAAAGACACACCCCACTTTGAAATCTCCCCGGAGGCTACAGCAGCAGTTGGGCTGGAGCGGGAAGGGGCAGAGGGTGGAGCCTGCAGGGGCAGTGGGGAAGCAGGCCCAGGTGGGAGGCTCGGGGGTATCGGGTGAGGATGGAAGCTCAGTGAAGACCCCTGTTCCAGCCCCGGAGACCCAGCGCTTCTGGGCGCATTGAACTGTTTGGGCCAAAGTGAGGTTTGAGGTACAAGGCCCTGCTGATCTCGGAATGGGGCTGGGGAGCAGGGTCCTATCTGGTCCTGGTTGGGGGGTCCTGGAAACCCCATGCAGCCCCCCGGGAACCAGGCGTCCCTTTCCCAGGGGCTCAGCAGGCCAGCAGGAGAGGGGTGGCGGGTTGGAGGGGGAGCATGGGTTTTGTCTGGCGACCCGGGCCGTTAGGATTCCCAGCGCTGGGCGGCTCCCACGCTGGCCCCTTGGGCAAGGTAACAAAGCCCCTTTTCTCCAGCAAGAAAGGCATCAGGCCTCTTGTGTGCAGTTCTGTGCTCCATGGGAACCGCTGCTGCCGTGCTGGCCACTCAGGTTGCCTGGCGATGAGGGAGCCTGGGCCCCCCACCACACACCCCTGACTGACAACTCTTGTGGGGCACCATCCCTGAGCCAGGGATGCCCCCTTTCCCAGCACTTGGCCTTCCTGCTGTGTGACCTAGGGAAGTGTTCAGCCCCCTCTGGGCTGCCACCAACCAGCCATGAGCACCTCTTGTCATGGAGTTCTGGGCTTTTTCCATTGAGACCATATGGTCAGAGGGTCTTAGTTGTGAGTCTCAAGCTGGGCTGGGTAACCTTGGGCAAACCTAGGGCCTCTCTGACGGCCTTTTCACCTCTACAATGGGGGATACGGTGTCTGCCCAACAGGTTGTTGTAAGAAAGTGCTGGCAGGGGGATTCAGCTCAGTGGTTCCGCCACCTGCCTTCTGAAAGTGCAAGGTCCCAAGTTGGATCCCTGGTACCAATAAAGCAAGTGCTGGCGAGACCTGGAGGCCTCAGGCACACCCAGTGGGCACTCAGAGTCGGGGCCATCACTGCTCTGGGCCCTGATGATGCTGTTGAAGGGTTGCCCCATCAGGAGAGGTTGAATCTGCTCCCACTATCAGCTCAGATGCACACGGCAAGCACAGCCTCCCTTGTGTGCTGCAGGCAGGAGCCTCTGGAACTTGTGGTACAGGGCCTGCTTGCCAAGCCTGGGCAGTACGACTCAGACCTGGTCTCCGTGGGGGACGCTGGAGAGGCTGTGAAAGCCCATGGGCATCTGCCTTCAGGAAGGGGTGGGAAGGCTTCCTGGGGGAGGTGCCCTCTGTGCCCGACTGAGTCAGGAGTGCCATGGAAGGGCAATCTGGGCATCTGGGCCGTGAGCAAGGGCTGTGCAGGAAGCTTCCAACCACTGGAGAGGTGGGGTGGGAGCTGGTCCAGGGCCTTGAGGTCAGGGTGAAGGGTCGAGCCTACTGCTCCTCCCCCACCTAGGAGCACGCCAGGCAGCAGCGGCTGCCACCACAGCAGCCACAATGGTCGGGGGAGAACTTGGCATCCTGTGTTTCTTTGAATCGAGGCTCCAGGAACAATGCCGCTTCCTGTGGGTGTCCCCCCACCAGGCCTCGGCCAGCCCTGCTGCCCTCACTACCCAGGTCCTCCCCCTTCGGGAAGGTGGGTGTAGGTCCCAGGAAGGGACCACTTCTGCCCCAAGGGTCACCATGGCCTCAGTTTTTCCCCACTTGTACACTCGGGGTGGTGATGGTGACGGCTAGGGAAAGGGCAGTCTGTCCCCAGGGCTCTGCTCCACGTGGGTGAGCACTGCTGAGCCCATTCAACAGAGGAAGAAACTGAGTCTGAGTGAAGGAGGAGGGGGTGGCCTGCAGCTGCAGCCCCTGCTTTTTCTGCTGGTGGCTCTGTGTTCGGGAGATGGAGGTTAGGCACCCCTGCACCCCACAGCCCTGCCCCTCCAAGCGGGAGCTGAACAAAAGTGACTTTAATCTCCCATAGCCCTGGGCTGAGTTTTTAGGATACCACCAAAGCGCGGGAGAACAGGCCTCACTTGATCTCATTAAGAAAGCATTTTCCTTTTAATCCAGCAGTGCAGCGGAGCGTCTGCACGGGCCGGCCCGCTCCGCCTCCCACGGCATTCCTGGGCTGGGGTGCTGGGGCGTGGGTTGGGGGCTGAGTGCGAGTCTGTGCCCGCCCTGGGTGTCTGCTGGGCCCTGGAAGGGGAGGGTGGGTTTGTGGAGAAGGTGTAGACGGCACCAGCACATCCTCAAGCTTGGGGCCTGTGACTTGTAGCCCGAGGAGCTTCACCCGAGGTGTGTCCAGGCCTGGGGTCCTGCTGGGCGATGAGCTGAGACTGTCCCCTTGTGGGGGTGCTGCTTTCTGGCCTGTGGGGGTCCCTGACCGTGGCCAGGGGTGTGATGCGCCCCAGGCCCGAAGGCACTGGAGCCTCCCTTGGACCTGTGTGTGCACAGAAGGAAACTAAGGCCTGGTGGGTGTGGGGCCCCCCACTGCCTGCTCAGAGCACCCCCACCTGCCCCAGGGTCGAGCTCAGTCCTGTGGGGGGCACGGCGGGTGGCACGCGCTGGGCGGGCCGGGCTGGCGGGGGAAGGCACATTCCTCCCCGTGTGCCGACGGGCCCAGGCGGGCACCAGCAGCTCCTCGCCCCACCCAGAGGGCTCCTCCTCTTCCACTGAGGGATCCTGGCGGGGTGGCGGGTGGCAGGGTGGCCCAGTGCCGGCGCAGGTGGAGCTTTGCTGTGGCCTTGGGCAGGGCATGGCACTCTGGCAGGGAGCGGTTCCCTGGCCTGAACAGCAGGAGGGGTCTGGGGCCCCTCATCGGGCACTGGGGACCTGAGCGCTTGGTCCAGACACCACCACACTGAGCAGTACCGCCTCACAGAACTTGGGGGACAGCTTCGGCCGAGGGTGACCAGCCCAACAGCCAAGTCAAAGGGCTGCGGCGCTGGGGGCCACACCCCTGCCTGAGGACCTCTTGCCCAGCCTGGAGCAGTTAACCAGGCCAGCTGTATGGTAATGACAGCCTGGCCACTCCTGCTTAACTCCGCAGAGTTAAGGCCGTCGGCTCCCCTCGCCACCGGCCCAGGACCAAGCCAGCGGACAATGCCTGGTGATTCATCCTCCCTCCCGCTCTTTGTCTGCTGGGGCTTGGCAGCCTCCCAGCAGAGGCCTTTGTCCCCGACCCAAGTGACTGCGTCTTGGCTTCCCCAAGCTCTTGCCCGGTCCCCCTACCTGTCCCCTGCCCCTCCTGTGGCTCTGAAGCCCACAGCACTGTCAATAAGGGTGTGTGCCACCAGGTGCCGGGGAGGGCTGCCCAGGAGCCTTTACCTGGGGGATGGGCGGGGCGCCCCACCTGGCTCGGGCCTCCCAGCTGCCTAGGTGACCTTGGGCGTCGAGGTTGGTGAGTGAGGCCCCACGCAGCCACCACTTACCCTGGGTACTTGAGCCCCGTTTCCCACCGGTGGGGGGGGGGAGGGAGATCCACAGCTGCAGCTGCCAGACTCCAGCAGACCCAGCCCCCGCCTCACCCACCACCTCGCTGTGGCCCAGGGTCCAGACGCCACGCGGCGGCTCAGGGTCCTGTCTCTCCTTCCAGACTTTCATCTTCACCGACGGGGAGGACAAACTGCTGGCCAGGCACACGGGTGAGCCCTGAGCTCGGGGGGCCTGGGGCAGAGGGGTGCCCTCCTTCCGCACACACGTCCCTCCCTCCTCTCCTACAGGGGCCGAGAGGTCAGGGGCCGAGGGACTAGGAGGGCAGTTTACTCAAGGGTTTGCTCAACGCTCCGCCCCACCACTTGGGCCCCCAATTCTCATGCAAATGAGGCCCTTTCAGCCCCTGAAGTCCCTTTGAGCCTGGCCAGCAGCAACAGGTGGCGGGTGCTGGGAAAAAGCTGGCTGAATGGGCAGGGGCGGGGCGCCCTGGGGAGGGGCGGCTGGGGGAGGGAGGGGGCACCTGGGGGAGCCTGCGGGTGCCCGGGCCCTCACAGGCCCCGCCCCTCCCGCAGGCAACGTGGTCAACACCAACTGCTCAGCTGCCCACAGCCGCCAGGCGCTGTCCTGCAAGATGGCTGTGGAGTACGACCACTTCGTTGAGTCTGGGAGGAGGTGAGGTGGCCCGGACCCCCGTCCTCCGCCTGCCCGCGTCCCCTGCTCCGCCCCCCTCACGGCCCGCCTTGCCCTCAGATGGTTCTGCCACGTGGACGATGACAACTACGTCAACCTGCGGGCCCTGCTTCGGCTGCTGGCCAGCTACCCGCACACCCAGGACATCTACATCGGCAAGCCCAGCCTGGACAGGCCCATCCAGGCTACCGAGCGCATCAGCGAGAACAGGGTGGTGAGTTCTATGAGCCAGGGGTGGGGGCAGTGTGGGGCGTGGCTGTCCTGCCCTACGGCCTCACCACGTCTCCGTCTCCCTGTCCCCAGCGTCCTGTCCACTTCTGGTTTGCCACCGGTGGGGCTGGCTTCTGCATCAGCCGAGGGCTGGCACTGAAGATGAGCCCGTGGGCCAGGTGAGTGCATGGGTCTCGGGGTCCCACGTCCACTGCAGGCCTGGCTTAGTCCCTGCAATGGGGTTCGAGCTTATATCACCTCCCTCCCTGGGCTTCAGAGGCAGCTACACCCACAGCCACTTCCTCCACAGCTGTCCCGCTCAGAGCAGGCACCAGGGGCAGGAGCACCCCACATACCGTTGGCCAGGCCCCCTTCCTGTGTTGGAAACACACACACACACACACAACCAGGGAGCAGCAGAACTAGTGTGGAGGAGGAAGTGGCGCTGGGGCAGGGGACACAGGGTGTTCTTGACCTGTGCCTGCCTCAAAGCCCAGTCTGAGGCGTCCTGCCCAGCCCCCCTGCAGGTGCTGCCCCTGCTCACTGTCCCCGCTCTTTCCTCCTGCAGTGGTGGCCACTTCATGAGCACTGCGGAGCGCATCCGGCTGCCAGACGACTGCACTGTGGGCTACATTGTGGAAGCTCTGCTAGGCGTACCCCTCATCCGCAGTGGCCTCTTCCACTCACACCTGGAGAACCTGCAGCAGGTGCCTGCCTCCGAGCTCCATGAGCAGGTGCGCCGTCCCTGGCCCCGGCCAGGACTGAATGCAGGAAGGGCTGAGCATAACCAGGAGGGCCTCGGAGCTGAGGGATGAGGGCACAGACCCAAGAGGAGAAGAGGCGGTTGGATCACTGTCTTACAGAACAGGTTAAGCTAGGTGGGGTGGTGTGTGATTATAATCCCAGCAGTCTGAGAGGCTGAAGCAGGAGTGTATGGATCACAAGTTTGAGCCCAGCCTGGGCAACTTAGTGACTTAGGAAGACTCTGTCTCAAAATAAAAATTAAAAAGGGCTGAGTATGTAGCTCAGGGATAAGGTCCTGAGTTCAATCCCCAGTACCACCAAAAAAAAAAAAAATCAAGGGGGGAGGTCAGGAAGAGCCCCACTGTCAGCTGCTACTGGGCACCAGGGTCTCCCACCAGTTCGGGCTCAGTTCCCACTGAGTAGCCATCCTTCCGTCCTTCGCCTTCTGGGGAACCCACCTGCTGTGTGCTCCTGTTCAGAATATTGGATACTCCCCCCCGTTCACAGCTGCAGCCCCAACTCAGGACTTCGTCCTGGGCTGTTAGGGCAGGTGTCCTCAGTCAGAGGGAGTCACCCGTCCAGGGCCCAGGGACGGCCGGACCCCTCTGCCATCATGCGGCTCCTGTCCCCCCAGGTGACCCTGAGCTACGGCATGTTTGAGAACAAGCGGAACGCGGTCCATGTGAAGGGCCCCTTCTCAGTGGAGGCTGACCCGTCCAGGTGAGGACTCTGGCTGGTGTCTTTACAACATGACTGTACAGAGGAGCCCCAGAAGACTCCTTTGCTGGGGGCTGGGCTGGGGCCTCCTTGGGTGCTGCAGGCCTGCAAGAGGCACTTGGCACCCTGCCGTGCACGGACCAGCCCTCCACTCTGTCCCTGCAGGTTCCGCTCCATCCACTGCCACCTGTACCCGGACACACCCTGGTGTCCTCACACCGCCATCTTCTAGCACCATGGCCGAGACCCCTGTCCCTGGGTGCCCCTGGTATCCAAAGGGCCCAGGGACCCCTGTTGTGCCGCCCTGGCCTTGGCCTTCAAAGCTCCCCCAGGGCCCCATCCCTGTGCGTGTGTGTCACGTGCCCACCAGGAAGTGGGCTGCTGGGCAGTTCCGCTCCTTGAGCTGGCAGGAGGACCCCACACCCTGTGGTCCCTCTGTGGGCAGCACTGTGTTCTTAGGATTTTGGATCTCTTGCTCAGGGTCTCTGTGCAGGGATGTGGGTTCCCCTCCCTGCTGAGCACAGGCCCTGGTCCTGAGCCATCCTTTGAGCAGGGGAAGCTGCTCTGGGGGTGAGAGGCCTGCACCTCTCCTCCTGGGACCTCTGGCACTATGTGTGGCTCTGAGTAACAGCAGCCACTGCCCCATCCCAGTGACCCCAGGACTCCCCCAGTGGCTGTGCAGCTAGTGAACAGCCCTCCTAGGTCGGGGGTGGGGGTCCTTCCAGCCCCCTGAGATCCTGCCTTTGTCTCCCCAGATTGGGGGAGTCAGAGATGAGCATTTTATCTCCTCTCCAAAGTAGAGAGAATGTCGCCCACAGTGGGTGTGTCTGTAAATACTGTGACAGTATTTTTTACTGTGCTGTTTTGAAAGGGGGTGGGTAAAGGGGGGGGGGGTTGTGTGCTCTTTTCCAGGGTGGGTGAGGAGGGTCTTATTTTATGTTTTCTGTGGATCAGAAAAAGCAGACACCAAACTTGGGGTCCTCTTTTGTAAAGCTGACTGGGAACGTCTAACTCGCTCTGTATTTATGTGTTCCAGTATCTGGAATCCACTCCCTCGTTGTCCCCAGGCCACCAGGCTCATGTGGCTTCTGGCCTGAGGGGTATGTCCTGTGTTCTGTGTTCTCTTTGCAAAGACATAGCTAGGAAAGTGGATGATAAGGGAGAAGCTCTCAGGGAATTGGAGTGCTGTTGCTATGGTGATGCCCTTTTGCTGTGAATAAAGGTGCTCTTTGCAGCAACCCGAGGTCCTGGTCCTGGCTGGAAGTTGGGACCAAGTTCAGGTTCATCATGTTGGTTCCAGGGGGTCGAGGGGTGAGGGGGAAGACTTGGTTTGCTCTGCGGGAGTAGGCAAGAAGAAAACCCTACAAGCCAGCCAGGCACAGTGGTGTACCCCTGTAATCCCAGCTCTCTGGGAGGATGAGGCAGGGTGGGGGGTGCGATTTCAAGCCCAGCCTGGATAATCTATCGAGACCCTGTCCCAAAAAATAAAAAGGTCTGAGGATGTAGCTCAGTGCGAAGTTCCTGGGTTCAATCCCCAGTACCCAAAACAAAACAAAAAGACCGTACAAGCACCAATTTTGGAAGGAAACTTCAGATCAAAACATCTGCTGGCCGGAGCCTGAAAGGAGTGGCCAGCCAAGTGCAGGGGGTTGCTGGTGGACCAGAAGAAGCAGGGGCCTGCAGACCCAGCCAAGAGGCCAGCCTTGGGCTCTGAAGTTCATTCCCTCCTGCAAGAGGATCAGTGCCTACTATGGCTGGGCTTGGCACCTCCCTGCCTAGTTTCATCCCCATCACAAGTCCAGAGCCCATTCTGCAGATGGGAAAACCGAGGCCCAGAACCGATAGTATCCAGGGTCGGGCATTGGGGCTGCTGACATTTGGACCCAGCCTCTCCTCTTGGCATGGGAGCTTGGAGGGCCCTCCCAGGATGGCAGTGCCCAAGTGGCCACTGCCCAGCTAGACCTGCCCCCCCCTGCAGGCCCCAGGAACTAGACGGGTCTGACTCCTCTCCTCTAAGGACAGCAGCTCTGTGGGGGCCTTTCTTCCTCCAATCCAGCGTGAGGGCCACCTAGCCTCTAGCTGGGGAGTTCCCCTCACACCCGTTCCTGCTGCCTCACTTCCTCCTGTCCAGACTGAGCTGCTCCCCCACCCTCCCACAGGTGCCTGCTCTGGCCTGAGCTGGGGCTCAGGCCCTCCTTTTTACTGAGCTTCTTGGCTCACTGTTCCAGGAAGAGCTCTTTGAGAAAGGTACCTCAGGGCCGGAGATTAAGCTCAGTGGTTCCAGTGCCTGCCTCGAAAGCACAAGGTCCCGAGTTTGATCCTCGGTACCAAAAAAAAAAAAAAAACCTTCAGTGAAAGGTACCTCCCTCACCCTGACGCACCAGAGATCCTCTCCAGCCTGTTCCGGTGCCCAGGGGTCACCCCCAAATGGGCCCCTTTCTTAGCCTCTGCTGGTGGCTGTCCTGGGCTGGGGCCTGGCTGTGGAGAGGCCTGAGTCATCAGCAGGGTGTGCTTTCCAAAGACCATGGCACTGGGGGTGGGCAGTGGCCAGGCCAGGGCAGAGGAAGCACAGCCTCTTGCCTCCATGTGTCCTGGCCCGTTGTGGGTGGGGGACAGACTTGGCTGCGGCTGTCCTGGTACCAGCAGTGTGCAGGGCCTGGTAGAGATGATGGCCATGTACTCGGATGGTACTGGACTGTCTTCTGGACCAGGAAGTTGACACTTGGGGGTGTCATAGCGGAACAGGCTGTGGGCACAGCCCAGAGGCCTCCTTCCTGTCTGGGTGAGTCAGAGGTGGGGTGCTCTCCGCCTGGCCCCCCACACTGTCTCAGCAGCTGCCATCAGCCTCCCTGAAAGCCACAAACAGGAAGGGGGATGGGGGAGCAAAGTGTGGCGGGCATAGTGGCCTGTATAGCTGGGCCAGGCGGGCTGTCAGCACTGCTGCTCAGATGTTCCCAAATGGGGAGAGAACAGTGGTACAGGCGGTGGGGAGATATCCCCTGCCCTGCCCTCCCCAGTCTGGACGTCTTCATCAGAAATGGGTAGCTCATGGGGAGGGGTCCTGGGAGGGACACAGGCCAGCAGCCTCGGGCCTTTCCTGTCCCAAGGAGAAGCTGAGCAGCAAAGTTGCTCGGTCAGAAGGGGAAGCAGGTTAGGAGGGGCTGCAGGACAGGTGCCTGGTTCCTCCTAACCCTTCAGGCTATGAGGTGGGGGCTCTCGGGTCACCCAGGGCAGAGAGGGGACTCCTCTCCCTACAGGCAGGTTCCGAGGATGGCTGCCCCCAGCAGACTGACATCCTGCCAACTCTCACCCTGGCTGGCCCCTTCCAGAACTGCCCACCGTTTGTGAAACTTTCAAAAGTAAAGCCACGTGCAGGCTGCCGGGTGCTCAGCAAGGGGCGAGACTCAGCCCCAACCTCAGCTTCCGCTTTCCGGGTGGGTTGGGGGAGGGGGAGGGGCGCAGGGGCTGGACAGGGCTGAGCCCCTTCCGGAGAGGTTGCCAGTGTGAGCCGGTCCCTGCTCTGTTCAAACTGACTTCCACAGGGGTCCCCAAAACTGACGTCCTGGAAGAGGCTCCTCTTGGCTGCAGTGGGAAAGCTCTGTAAAATGAGAGCTGGCCGTTCCAGCTTGACACAGACCAGGGAAAGGTGTGTGTGTGTGTGGGGGGGCACTGGGTAGAGGCCCGGAAAGCCGGGAGGCAGGGTGGGCAACGGGATCGGGACCCCAGACCCTCCCCACCACACCTGATCCACCCCCAGGAGCAAGCAGGTGGCGAGTCCGACCTGCTGGGTGGCTTCTCCAAGCCCCTTTTCTGGACCTGTAAAGAGGGTAGCAGGGGCCAGGTCCTGGACCTCTCCTATGCCAGTGAGACAAATTGCCAGACCTGCCACTAGAGGCCTGTCGCCACCCCAGCCCCAGCCTTATTGGACGTTCTAGGAGGTGCCTCCTCCCAACTCTGCTTTCTGAGCCCAGGACCAGGCACCCCAGAAAGCCACTTGGGACAAACTTAGGAGGGATCTGGGGACCAGGAGGGCCCTCATCTTGACCCCTAGAGGTTTCCCAGATGTTGCCACGAAGAATGGGGCCCCACAGTTGTGGCTATTACCCCGTGTATCCTAAGCACCCAGTTCCCTGCCGCTACATCCCCAATAAAACCAGACACAGTCTTTGGGCGCCCTCTGGCGGCAACAGCTGCTGGCGACTCCCAGGCTGAATCCTGCTCTCCCTGAGAATCACGCCTGGACAGAGGCATGTAAGCCAAGCGGAGGAAGGGAGTGACCATTGCAGCTGTGCTTGCGCTTCGAAGCTCACTGCACACCCTCACCAACGACGCGGGGCATATTCACCAGCATTTAACTCACGCAAAATGGGGAACGTCAAGCATCGGGGCAGAACCAGCGACCTCAGGAAGCCCCAGGCCCCTCCTGCAGGCCCAAACCAGAGGTGTCTGGCAAGACGTCCTCGGGGGGACCGCGCCGCTTCTCTCCAGCAGGCTCTTGCCTGCCAGCTGAGCCGCACAGCTCCTTTGGTACCTGTGGGGTTGCGCGTCCCCGACTCGGGGGCAGGAGCCCCAGTGGAGTCCGCCCACTAGGGCTCCCGCCATTGCCGCCGAAGACTCACCGCCCCCTGCTGGCACTTGCCGGTTCCGCACCTAACTTCTGGAGCGCCTCTTCGGTTTCCAGATACTCCTATGGAGCCCCTCCAAAGCAATAAATCTCTGCTTCCAGAGGGCATCACCTGCTTCCCGCATGGGTATTCACAGGCCCCTCGCTCAGGAGGGTATTTCGAGTCCCGGCGCGGGTGCTGTTTCCTGCCCTTCTTGTCCCATCCATCCTTAGAGACCTGGGTGTAGCTGCTCTGTCCTTGTCGGCGTGGCCTCCCACAGCGCCCGCCACAGCCTCTACCCTCCCTGCCTCCCTCGTCTGCTCTGCCTCCACCTTCTGTCCAGCCCTCCCACGTGTGTCGTGACCTTAGGGGTTCTTCCATTCCCACAGACCCTCCAGGGTTTCTTCTCAGCTGGCTATACTCTCACCGTCAGGCGTCGAGGGCTTGATCTCATCTCAACCTCAGTGCCCCCCCAACCCCTCCTGCAAGCCCATCCCTCCCCAGCCTCCCTCTAACCACCTTGCTTCCTTTTCACAGCAGCCTGCCAACCCACCTCAACGCCCACCCCAGGCCTGGCCCGGTGTGTCTGCAGCCAGCCCTTCCTAGGCCATAGCTCCCAGCCCTCTTGGCTGCTCAGGAAGTCCTAGTCGGGCTTAGGGGCAGACACCTGTAATCCCAGCAGGTGAGGTAGAAGGACTGAAAGTTTGAGGCGAGCCTGGGCAATTTAGCAAGACCTTGAGTCAAACGTTGGGGGTGGGTTGGGGCCAGGGATTTAGCTCAGGGGTGCCACCACCTGCCTCCCCAGCAGAAGGTCTGGAGTTGGATCCCTGGTACCAAAAAAAAAAAGTTTGGGGTGGGTAGGGATGTAGTTCAGTGTTAAAGGCCCTGAGTTCAAATCCCAGTGCTGGAAAGGAAAACATCTACCAATTATTTTTCTCCCGTCCGCCAACAGTCACTTTCTTCTCTGGGCCCCATTAGCCCTACCACTGTGCTGTCATTCCCCACTTCACACAGGCACGAGGAGCACCTCTCTGCCCCACCCCAGTCTTTCTGTTTTGCAGTTTACTTCCTCAAATGGCTGGTTGGTCCTGTCCTCCAGCTGTCCCTCTCCCGAAGTGCTACCCAGCACCCTCTCTGGGCTTCATCAGCCCTGTCTGGTCGGATGGCTCAGCATCCAGTCACTGAATCTGCCGTCCCATTTGACGTGGTGCTTTATTCCCTTGATGCTCTGACCTCCTGTGGTACCCATACCTGCACCTCCGAACTTCCTCCAGACTCCGTGGGAGCTCTTCCCTAAGGCCCCAGCCCTGCACTGTCCATGTCAAAAAGACCTCAGGCTGGATGTGTGCATAACTGGACCTCTAACCTCCCTTGCTCCCAAACATGCCAGCTGCTAGACCCAAACCCACATCCATAGCTGGCTTGCCAGGAAGTGCAGTGAGCAATACCTTTCTTCCTCCCAGCCCTGCCCATAACTTGCTGCCATCAGCTCTCTGCGCTACAGCAGGAGCCTCCTGACTGCTCTGCGGCTTCTGCTTCATTACAATCCTCCGGCCCCAGCCTCCCAGAGTGCTGCGATTACAGCCATGCACCACAACACCCAGTCAGGATGCTGGGTTTTACCCTCTCTGATACCCATGGGGTGCTGAGGTCCCAAAGTGTCGTGTATCTGAGGTCATTCTTCATGACCCCTGGCTGCCACTCCAACCCCACGGCTCCTGTCTTTTGGGCTCCTAGACTCCAGGTGCCCAGGGTACCCAGGTCATTCTCTCTCACCTGGAGCTGCCAGTGTCTGTGCTTTTGGAGCCCAACATGCTCTTCTCCAGAGCATGGAGCACACCCACCCTACACCCCTCTCTTGAATCTTCCTTTTTTTTTTTTTTTTGAGACAAGGTCTCACCATGTAGTTCAGGCTGGCCTCAAATTCACAGGGCTGGGATTAGACATGTGCAATCTTGAAAGCACTGATGGAGGCTGCTGGTGACCTTGCCCTGGTGTCAACATGAGCCCAAGCTGGGAGCCAGGGCCCCTGGTATGTTCCATAGCCCCAGACACTGCTGACCAAAGGCCCTGCCGGGTTCATGGGCCTGAGGTCTGCCTGTGAGGTGGGTGCTACCACCCGCAGGGCTGTGCTGTGAGGCCTCGGGGAGCCACCTCACCCACTGGAACCCCCTTCTCTTAGGAAACCTCCACCCCAGGGGTGAAGGGTTCACTGAGGCACTGTGGTGCCACTTCTGGAAGGATGAAGAGAGACGAGCAGGGACCCCCCCCCCCGCTCCATTCTGGCCCTCAGCCCCTCCACTGTGCCCACAGTGGGCCAGGGCAGGCACCTCTGCTGGAGACCTTTCTCAGACTCCTGGCCCTCCCCTCCTCATGCCAGGCAGCAGGACTGCAGAGCCAGGCTCTCTCCCCTTCTATGATCACACTACCATGCCATCTTCAAACTCTGCAGCCAGCTGCAGGCCCACAAGGCCCCACCTGCCCAGTGAGCCCCCCACATTCACTGAGGTCCTGCCCTTACCCAGTCCTGATGTCTTCCAGAGCTCATCAGGTCCCTTCCCTGAACCTCTCAGTCCTGCTGGTCTGTCTCCACCCATTGGAGTCACCTGCCTCACCCTACAAGTGACCTAGGGCTGGGGACCTTCCCGATTAACTCAGGAAAAGTCATCTGTTCTTTAAAATGTGTTTATTTTAAAACATGAAACCCAAGCTGAATAGAAACCACAGAAATTACATCGAGATTTTGCTTTTGGCAAGAAAAGTAAGTCCCCAAAGAAATAAAAATCAAACCCAAAACCTAGTTTTAGAAAACAAAAACAGCGACAGGACACACAGCCACAGGCTTACAGAGGCTGAGGGGTGCGGCCCGGTGCAGCTCTGGTGTTAATGCACACGGGGCAAGATTCGGGGTGGGGGGAGAAAATCATATATATAACAAATAGGGGAGATCACAAGCATCATGGCTAAACAAAGAATCCCACACAAAAGGCCCTGGTCGCTGGGCCCCAGGGGCTGCCAACTGATCCCTCTCTGGGCTGGGCAGAGCTAGGGCCTGGGAAGGGAGGCAGTGGTGGGGACCTGGAATTGCATAGTGAGATGGGGTGGGTGTCAGGAAGAAGGGGCAGGGGTGCTCCCAGCCAGGCCCTCCCACCACCCAACCTCACCTTGCTTGGGAGGCTGAGGGCTGGACACCCACAGCAGAACCCCATGGACCCTCCCAAGGGCCTGGAAGTGTCCTGTGGTCAGGTGGTGGCCAAGCCCCCATGGCCTCCTACTCCCCATGTGGTCAAGCTCTCATCCATGCTCCAGAGCCCAGGAGGGCAGCGTGGGAGGGGCAGGTGCCCCCGGCCTGGCACCCTAGGAGGTGTGGAGATGTGGCTAGGAAGGGTGGTATGGAAAGGGGCACCAAGAACTCAAAACAGAAAGAAAACCAAGGGCAGGAGCCACTGAGGTCTGGGAATGAAGCCCCCTTGGCTTCCCCTTTTCTTTCTTCAGCCTCGGTGGGTGAAGAGTCACAGACAGGGCACGCATGAGTGTGCGCACACACATACACACACACACACACACACACACACACACACGATGGCAGGACTCACGAGATAGCACAGGTTCACAGCCACGTCTGGGCAGTGCCTGCCTCTCATGCTATGTACATTCACCTTGTGGGTGGCTCTCGGCCGCCGGCAGCGCTTGTGCTTCTGAGCGGTCCCGGGGCACATGACAGGCACTGCCCTCCGGACCCATGGCCAGGAATGCACCTGCGGCAGGCTGGCTGTGCCGGCCTCCATGGCTCACCTAGAGCAAGACAGTCCCCTCCACTGAGGTTCTGTCAACACTGGGGACTCTGATGTCCAGGCTGGGGGCCATAGGTCTGCTAACTCCCCTGCTCATCCCCTTTTGGTCCCAGACACCAGCATGAAGAAGGGCTTCAGGGGAAGGGCAGGATGGTCACCCCAGGAGGGGTGGGTGGTTCTGGGCAGGCAGCTGCCTACTGCTCCAGGAGGGAAAGCGATGGGTCTGTTTGGCCCTGCCACATTGCCCAGTGGCCCTCTGGCTGCCTCTGGCTGCACAGGGCCAGAGCCCACACCAGGACACACCATGTCGACTGGCTGGGCCAGAAGGGGCAGAACCTCAAAGTCCTAATTTGGGGGCTGGTTCTACACCCCCACCCCCCCGGAAGCACAGCAAACATCATATACCAAAGCCAAAAGCACCATCGGGAAGTCTTGTTCCCACTTCACAGGTAGGGAGACTTAAGTCATGGCAACCTGAGCCCATGGCCCTGGGGACAGGTCCTCCTGGGGTGGCACCTGGCCAGGCATGGGAGGGGTCTCCAGGCTCTGAGCTGCCTGTCGGTCTGTAGCCTGTCCCCAGCAGCACCCCATGAAGAAACTGCTACTTCAGCCCTGGCTCCCGCTGGCCATCCTGGGCCTTGGCTCCAGGCTGGACTTGGGTCACTCTTGTTGGCTCTGGGCTGGCCAGGGGCACCCATGGAGGCTGGGAGTGAGGTTAGTGGTTAGTCCCAAGAAGGGCAGCAGGGACTGGGTGCACATTCACAGCTGGCTTGGTTCCAGCCCCTGAGGCTGGGCTCCAGGGACACAGCATCTGTCCTGGGTAGAAATGGAACCAAGGGAGGGCCGGGGCGGCAGTACTGCTCAGCTTGCTGCCCCAGCCTGCCCTAGAGATGACAAATGTGGTTAGTGCAAAAAACAAACCAGATGAAGCTGCCAAGTCTGGGGGGGGGGTTGGCACCAAGAAGGTGGCCAGCACTGGGAGGCCAGCGAGTGACCCGGGCTCTGTGTGGCACCTGCTGTCCATGGAGGGCTGGGTGCTTTGGGGAGGGGTGGCACTGGGGGAGAAAGCAATGCTGGGCAGGAGGCAGAAGAGAGCTCTCCTTGGAAAGAAGCTGCGGGCAGTGGCAGGAGGGCGGGGTTGGGGCCAGGGCAGCCGTGTGGATGAGAGGGCTGCAGCCAGAAGCCACAGGGCCAGGCTCCTGGAGGGCCCCATGTGTAGACCACCCATCCCTCAGTAGCCGCAATGCCAGGCAGAGGGGCTGCTGCGCGGCCTGTGAACTAAGAGTGATCCACAGAAGCCTGGGGGGAGGCGCCAGGAAGAGCTCAGCACTACGGAAGGGAAGGAAGGGGTGGTCGGGGAGCTGGGCTGAGCAGCACGGCAGACAGTCAGGAGGGCCACCTGCGGAGCGAGCACACCAGGACAGGAGCTCCTGGCACAGAGAGGGGTTCAGTCGGTCTGAGGGGACAGTGAGGTGGGCAGCAGACGGCCTGGCGCGGCTCAGGCGTGGCAGTGTCTGTCCAGATGTACGACCGGGCTGGGATGGGCATCTCGACACCCCTGGCAGGGGAGGAGAGGAAGGGGCTGCATAGGACCAGGCTGGCGTTCGGAGGGCCTAGCAGGCAGCCACAGGGTAGGAGCAGCAGTGCTGGCCCGGGGGGACGATTGGCACGTGGGCCAGGTGGCTGGTCGGTGCGGTCTAGTGCCCGCTGCCGCTGGCGTCAGGGCGAGGCTGGCTCGTGGCGAGGTATTTGGCTCTCATGCTGGAGGAGTACTGGAGGACAGAGGGAGGGAGGTCAGCAGGGCGCCGGGCAGGGCCAGGCCAGCAGCGGCCTCCTCAGGGTGGTCCTCGGTGGGGTGAGCCAGAACCAGTCCTCGGTAAGCAAACAGAGTAATACAGCACAGGGTGCAGCTGGCAGAGCCCCAGAGGGAGGGGCTCCGAAGGGGCAGAGGGCCAGGCCCCGAGCTGAGGGGAGGGAGGACTGGGTGCGGCTGAGGGAGGCGGCACTCCCTAGAGAGCAGACGGTGGCCTCGGCTCCACAGCCCTCTTGGATTAGATGAGCAGTTCAGTTTTTTCCGCTCCTCCTGGCGGGCATTTGGGCATCCATCAGGCAGAGCCCTAACACCCCTAAGAGCCTTAACTGAACCCCGCATAGCCAGAACCTGGAGGCCACACGCAGGCTGCCTGCCCAGAGGGCTAAGGCCCAGGCCTTTGCCTCAAAGCTCTGCCCGGAGCCAGGCCATGCCACAGGCCACAACCAAGGAGCCCGTAGGGGTGAGGTCGCCTCACCCTCTGCCCTGCCACTCAGGGTCACAGCCACGCTGCCCCACTACACCCAACTGCAGTGATGCTCCCACTTGCTCAGGCTCAGGGAGGGGACCCACTGAGGAGTTCTCCTGGGTCTCAGATTCAGGGACAGGTGACGGGTGAGGTGGCCCCAGCCCGTCTGGCCCAGCTGAGGACCCAGGCCTCTTTACCACACCCTCACCCAACTGTGATTATGAAGGCTTTGAGCAGTGAACATGTGTGCAAGGAAGTGTGGTGTGTGTGTGTGCTCACAGGGAGCACACAGACAAAGCACGTGGTAAGGCCAGGCAGTGTGCAAACGGGTCACATGCCCAAGGTTGCCAGTGGCACAGATGCCTGACAGGCTGATCCCACTGGCCCCAGGTGGGCTCCTGCAAGCCCAGGGTCTCCACGCTGGTCCCCACAGCCCCCAGATCCAGAGGGACAGTGCTCCTGGGGTTCCCAAGGCCCTCCCAGAATGCCTAGAAGGTTGCAAACAGCTGTGAAGTGGCCATGGAGTGGGCAGGAGGAGGAGCAGCAGCACCAGGAGCCATGTCATTCCGTGGACATGCAGCAGAGACGCAGGGAGCAGCCAGACCCTGAAGGAGCTCCTTCAGGTGCCTGCACCGCCATAGGGGTCAGTGGGGCCCAGTACACACACCTGTGCCGGCTGGCATGCAGGGGCACCACAGGGGCCACACACACAGGCAAGGGCTGCCAGCCTGGGAGGGGGCAAGAAGGGCTGCGCCCCTTGTGCTGGAGGCAGAGTCCCTAGGGGCTGGGGAAGTGGGATCGGGCTCGCTGCCCCTGCTGACAGGTGGGCTGGGGACCAGTAAGAAGCCTCTGGCTAGGCAGTGCACCCAGCACGGTCCTGGGACAGGGCCCGAGGCCACCACTGGTGGAAGCTGGTAGTGGGAGGAGGGCAGGAGGCATGGAGGAGCAGGCCAGTGCCGTGCGGGGCGGGGACCGGCCCAGTCAGTACCTGTCACTCTGAGGGCACAGCTACCACAGCGTTCGGGCACTGTCCAAGGGCTTAAACTGCCAGCCTGTGTGGCTGCCAGAGTCCAGGGCAGCCAGATAGCGCTAGGAGGACCCAGGTGGGAGGGGTGCAGGAGAGAGAGAGAGAGGGGTGTCCTCAACGCCAGGTGCAGCCAGCCCCGAGCAGGCTGTGCAGCTGCTGGGCCTCGGGGTCGGCAGCCCGGGACGGCCTCTGGGCCTTACAGACTCCGTCAGGTCCTGGGCCGCCCAAGCCCGGCTCTGCTAGGGGATGACAGGACAGCGGCAGGATTTACCAAGCAAGGCGGCCTCAGCCCCTTGGCCTGTCCCCACAGCCCAGCCCTTCCAGGAAGCCCGGGGCTTGTAGCTCAGCACCAGCTCCTCTCTGATGCCAAACCCACCCTGTCCCTTCTTGTCCATGTCTCACCCTCGAGGCCAGAGACTGAGACACAGGTGGAGGCTTGGGAGGAGGAGGAAGGAAGGAAAGAAAGAAAGGAGGAAAGGCCGGTTCTGGGGAGGCGGGAGAGAGGTGCCAGACCCCCTCATAAGAGTGAAAGTCACACCCTTCTGTCTGCTCACCTACCCAAGACAGGGCCATGGGCTGCCCACTCACCCCAGGGCACCTCCATCCTAGCATCCATTGGAGAGGCCCTGGCTGGCGAGCCCCTGCATGGCCCATGTTGCCCACCAGAGGCAGGCCACAGCATGAAGGTGCTGCAGCAGCGCAGGCCCTGGGTGCCAAGGGTCCCTCCCGCCCCACCTCCTTCCCTGAGACTTACTGAGGGCGGCGGGGACTCGCGCCCGATGAGGGGGGTGTTCTCACAGCGGGGATTCTGGAAATTGGCATTCTGGCTCCTGAGGGGGGAGAGAAGCTATAAGGGCCAGTGGCCCCAGCTCTGTCAAGAGGGCTCATCTCTGATCCAGGCAGACCCTGTGCCCAGGAGGCTCTGCCCAGCACCCATCTTCGATGCTGACCTCCACAGGGCGGGCTCCTGTGTTCTCACTGGGGATTTCATGCGCCCACCTGTCACCTCTGCCTGGCTGGAGCCCACCTCCCACCAGGCTGCTCCCCACCATGTAGTCAGGCCTTCCATCTGATCGTGTGGCCCCCACTGTCCCTCTACCAGGTTGGCCCAGGGGCAGGAGGTTCTCCATACCAGGCTGCTCCCCAGAGTCCGGGGGCTACCTGTGATGCAGCCCCTTCTCCCTCCTGTGGGCCCGGCCTGCACCACCACCCTTCCCTCTGGCCTGGGAGCTCCAGGCTGGACCACCGCAGCTGCTGCTCTGCCCAGGGGCTCCTTGAGCTAGCAGGCCTTGGCTCTGCCCGTCCCCTGGGGCTGGCCTCATCCCACTGTGACTCACATGTACTCGGTGACTGGGGCGTTGCTGACCGTGTGGGCCGCAGCTGGAATGCTGGTCTCGCTGCCATAGCTGCTACCACAACTATACAAACTGGGCATATGCACACGGTAAAGGCTGTCGTGCACCTGGCGAGGCCCTGGGGCAGCCTCCTCTTCCCCGTCCTCATCTGGGCCCCTGCAGGAAGGAACATGTGACACTCAGGACAGCAGGAGGGAACCAGCATGAGGCCTGCAGGTGGCTCTGGTGCAGACCAGTTTCCAGTTCTGCTGGGCCACATGCACGCTGTGGACTGCAGCTGCTCACCCAGGCCTAAGCCCTAGCCTTGTCCTCTGAGGTTGGCTGGGTACAAAGAAACCACACAGTCACCTGCATGCCAGGCTCTGTCCACAGCCTGCACAGGAAGCAGCAGTGGCTGTCTGCTTATTAGAAGAAGGGTGCAGGCCGGGGATTTAGCTCAGTGGTTTCGCCGCCTGTTGTGCAAGCACAAGGACCCGAGGTGGATCCCTGGTACCAAGAAAAAAAAGGGTACAGTCCCCTCCTGGGGAGCACAGAAGGATGGGTGCTCTCTTTTGGCTCTTCAGGGCCGATGTGCACCACTAGGTGGCCTAAGCTGGTATTCCTTTCTGGCTGCCCTCTGGCTTTCTGTCTTGCGCTCCACACAGTGGTTGTAGGGTGAGACCAAGGTGCCTGCACCAGACCTCTGCTGCTCTGGAGCTCCTTAACGGCCTGCCTATCCCAGGTGAGACACAGGAGTAGGCTGCTGGATGGTGAGCATTTCAGAAGAGGGAGCTGCTGACTGGTGACCACCAGCTAAGCCCAGGGCAGGGTCCACACACACAGCGGCTCATCCAGCATCTCCTGACTCTTGAAGTGTGTCTTTTTACAATGGAGCTTGTGCTTGCCAGGCAGGGGTGGCACCACTGAGCTACATTCCCAGCCCCTACAACTCCTTTTTCACTGCAAGGGACACTGAGGCCCAGAGTACTTAAGGAACAGTCCCAAAACCTGCCCGTCACTCCAAGGATGGCATTAGGAGCTGAACACCGCCATGTGGCTCAAGTGCTATGTTCTCAGCCACTGCACTAGAGCTACTGTTTTTACTGCCACAGCCACCATGGCCATGATCACCACTGCACAGCATTGCCTCCATCACCAGCACCATCGCTGCCGCTGCCAGGTCACTGCCACTGCCACCGCCAGCACCGCCACCCTCACCACTAAACCCACCATCGTCACTTCAGCACCATCACCACCACTGTCGCCACCGCCACCAGCACTGCAGCTGCCTATCACCATCAGCAACATCATCATCAGTGCACTCTTTTTTTTTTTTGGTACCGGGGATCGAACTCAGGTCCTTGGGCTTGTGCAGCAGGTGGCGAAAACACTGAACTAAATCACCAGCCCAACAACGTCATCATCACAAGGGAAAATAACAGAAATCCAGGCAAAGGGAATAAATCAGAGCTGAGCCATCCAAGCTGGGCACCAAGAAGTGGACATATTTCAAATGGGAGAAGAGGCGGGAGGTCTGAGAGATGGACCGTGGAGCTTCTGCAAGGGTAGCAGCCTGACACTCTCCACCCCACTCGGCCCAGTACTACATGAGCAACATGAGGCAGAGGCTGCCAGGAACCCCACTTCAAAGATAAGGACAGAGTGGGTCTGTGGGAGCTGAATCCGATCCAGCCTGGTCACCCAGCACAGGCAATGACCACCCGGACTCCCGCTTCTGGAGGTCACATAGCTGGGGTCCACCCACAGTTCTGCAACCCTGTACCCTGAGGACCCAGCCTTAGAACAGCAACCTATGAGGCCACTCCTCAGCATGGGGGGACAGGGCCAAGCCAAGGGCACAGGAGACTCTGGTCCCCCTCCTTGGCCGAGCTCTCAGGTTTTCTCCTGCGAAATGGAGGTGCTCAGCTAGAGCCGAAGATCATGAGCTGGACATCTACGTGGGCCCACCCCTAAGACAGCCCGTGTGCTGTGTAACCGGGGTCACATTCCAGGACCTCGGCTGCCCTCACCTCTTCTGCTGCCAGGCGTGTGGGACACTGCAGACAATGGAGCTGAACATGAGGGCTGTGACGAAGGAGAAGAGGGCCAGGTAGATAAGGCCTTCGATGCCGTCGTAGCAGAAGCCCGTCAGTGCCTGCACATAGTCCTGAGCCAGCAGAGATGAGACACAGCGGGAGGGAGTCGAGGACACAAAGTCTGAGGCGGACAGCCCAGGCGAGGCTCAGCTACAGCAGCCCGGATGCCCTGACACCAGGCTGGGCTGAGGCCCCCATCAACTAATGAGTCTCTTTCTCTCAATGGTCACCCCTGCCCTCCACAGCTCCCCTCTACCCTCAGCCCCGAGCTTCCCTAACTCTTGCCCTGCCCTGCAGCTCCTCTCCAACCCCACAAGGCTGCTCTGACTCCTGACCTCCTCTGCCACACCCTCTGGCCCTGCGGCCCTCACCAGGTGCAGGCTTCGGCAGTCCACCAGGGCAGTGAGGTGCTGCAGATTCACCTCTGTGCCGTTCAGCACCTCCTGGACATGGAGCAGGGGGTCCTGGGAGCAAGGGAAACTCAAGGTCAACACTGCACTGTGGGGAGACTCAGGCCAGCCACGCCTCCCACGAGAGTTCCAAGTCTCCTCCACCCCACAACTGCCCCTTAAACTACCTTTGACCATCCACCTTGGCACAGCACTGAGGACTCCAGCCTTTAGGAAGGGTGACCTTGGAGTCTACCCTGGACTTGCAGGGACAGGGGACACATGGATGCCTGCCCACTGTGGTCATCACTACATGAAGACAGGGCTCCCTTATTATCACAGGTGAACAGACAGCCACTGCATGTCATGGGCTATGCTAACAAAAATCCAACTTTATGTAGCTAGGCCTGGTGGCAGGCCTTAATCCCAGCTACTTGGAAAGCTGAGGCAGGAAAACTGCATGTTCAAGCCCACTGTGGGCTTAGAGGAAAAAGGGCTGGGGATGTAGCTCAGTGCAAAGGCTCTGGGTTCAATCCCCAGTGCTGAAAAAAAAAGTCCTATTTAAGAACAGTGGAAGACAAGGGCAAATCCTCACACTATCTTAAGTGATAAAACAGTACACACAACTGCGCAGAGACAGCCTGACCCTGTTACGCACCCATGACAGGGTTCCGTGTGTTTCATGTTTACAGACACCTCTAGCCCTGTCCCACGCACGGAGAAATGACCATGCAGAGAACCGGGGGGCAGACTGTGGCTCCTCTAGATCACCTAGCACTGCCTCCTGTCACAGGTTTTTCTTTCCTTCTTTTTTTTTTTTGCAATCCTGGGGATTGAACCCAGGGCCCTCACACTGAGCTACATCCCCACTCCAGTTTTTATTTTGAGATAGGGTCTTGCTAAGGCACTAAATTGCCTAGGCTGGGCTAGAATTTGTGATCCTTCTCCTTCAGCCTCCCAGAGTGCTGGGACTGCAGCTGTAACACCTTTACTAAGGACCCTCTGGGATCCTGAAATTGATTTCAAGAGAAGAGAACCTACTGCTGGGGGCTGCATTGTGTCTCCTAAAACTCCTGTGCCGATGCCCCCACCTGGAACCTCGGATCACTGTGGTCAGAGACAGGGCCATAGACAGTTGAGGTCACCAGGGCCACGCCTAACCCAATATGCCTGGTGTCATACAAAGGCGATCAGGAGGTAGACACAAAGAAAGGGATGACCCTGGGACGACACAGGGAGAAGACAGGGTCTACGAGCCAAGAAGGGCAGCCTCAGGCAGGACCAGCCTTCTTCCAGCCTCTAGGACTATGAGGTGTAAATGTCATTCCAGCACCCCTCTATGGTGCTGGGGTGTGACCTTGCACATGCTACCACTGTGCTATGTCCCTAGTCCCTCATTTCTTTTAAGAGTTTATATTACTTTGAAAATAAAGAACAAAATTATGTTTTTAAAGTCTATCAAAAATCCCCAGGGAAAAGGAACAAAGGTGGAAGGAGGAGAGGAAAAAAGAAGATTCTATTTGAAAAGGGGTGGGGAACAGGAACCCCCAGACTCCTATCAGAGGCTTCCTTGGGCCCTGCAGCCCCTCACCTTGGTGGCGGGGTGCTCCCGTGGGACCGTCCTCAGAAGTTCGGCCACAATGTCCTGCATCTCCACCAGAGCCTTGTGGCTGCCTGACAGCTTCTGCTCCACAGAGAGGCATGAGTTCCAGCAGTGAACAGCCCACCCCCCACCCCCACCCAGGCCGCCTGCAAGTTCCCAGGTGGCTGGCTGTGCTGCCTCTACTCTGCAGGCTCCAGGACTCTCCCTGCCTCCCAGCTGCCTCCACACCCAGGGACAACACAGCCCAAGGTGGTGATGGAACCCTGCGGCCACTCCAGAGAACAAAGCAGGGCATCCTCAAGGCAGACAGTGCTCAGGACGCACAGTCATGCCGTCAGTACGAGACTGGCAGCAGGTAAAGGGTTTGTGCAGCTAGTGCTGCTGACCCCTTAAAATCTCACCATCAGGATGCCCAAATGGACAGCATTCTGAAAAGGTGTCCCCAAGGCTTCTCCCACACTTGCCCAATGGGCCACCTGACCTGTGCCCACTAGGGGCTGCCCCGGACAGCCCAAGGAGGGAAAGGAGACCAGGGCTATGGTGGCATTAGGTAGGTCTCGACAAAAGGCTCGTGCTAGGGCGCTAGTGTGGCAGCCCCAGGGCGGCAAGTGATGTCAACATGCCATTCACCTGGCTGCCTCTGCTCAGTCTCCACAGTGCCTGTAGGCTGTGGATGTGCATGCTACAGAGCCAGAACAGGGCCTCCTCAGCCTCTCTACAGACACCACACCCTGGGCTCTCCCCACCCCTGCACCTGGTCTGGCCTCCCAGGACAGGGCTGGCTCTCACCTGCTGGAAGGGGTTGGCAGCATAGGGTGAACAGGCCAGGTAGTACTGCAGAATGTCTGCGGAGAGAGGGCAGAGTGGGCTGAGGTGGCAGCCCTGTGTGTCTGCGTACGGTATCTATGTGTATGCATAGTGCATCCTCAAGTGTGTCTGCATGTGTGCTCTGTGTGTACATCTACACATGCTGCAAATGTGAGCAGGCACATATGTGCATATGCTCCCGTGTATATAGTTGACTGTAGGTAAAGGTATAGGCCTCCAGGGAGACCCTGCCCTGGACCGGAGCCCCTGGTCTACTCAGGCTGGGGCCCCTGGTGCAGTGACAGCACCCGCACTCAGCCCTGGGCTCTGTGCTCCCAATGAGCCTCCAGGAACCCAGGGCCGGTCAGGCCAGACACAGAAGCTGTATAGCTCATCAGGAAGTCACCAGCCCCACCCCCAAAGCACACCCCTGTCCACACCCCACCCTGCTTGTTCAAGCCACCCCTGTCTGCAGGAGTTCAACAGCCTTCCCCAGGTCCTCTCCCCCACCCCCTACTGGGCCACCTGCCCACCCCAGTCATCACTGGCCCCATAGCCTTGGAAAAATGGTCAAGGTGGTCCTGTTGGCTCCCTAGCTTCCTGGCCTAGGACCTGCTTCTCCAAGACCAAGGTCCATGAAGGCAGGGACCCCCCAGCCTTGCTCACCTGGCTTTCCCAGCTCAGCCCCACCAGGGGACCAACTCTGACAGGGCCGCAGACTCACCCCCATTCAGCACCGAGTGCTCCTCCACCATCTTGGTCACATAGGTATCGGGGTCCACACAGAAGTCGCTGGAACCCTGGGTGGGTGCAGGCAAGGAACAGGGTCAGATTGCTGGGCCTCAGGGGAGGTGGTGCCCTGGGCCCTCAGTGGGCAGAAGCTGACCCGGGTCCACTTTTGCCTCAGGAAGGTGGAGTATGATTCAGGGGACATGGACATGCTGTGTGCCCGTGTCAAGGACCCGGTGACCTGGGACGAGGTGGGAGGGGCAGACTGTTGGCTTCCTTCACCTCCCACCCAGGCCCAGCAAATGAGGACTACTGGTCCCCTGCTACTCACCACAGACACAGCTAGTTCCAAGCCCAGCGCACCCCAGCTGATGACCAGGGCCAGGACCCCCAGTAAGCAGACCCTTGGGACAAAGAAAGTCGGTCAGCAGCCCTCAGGCTGGGGGCTAGGACCGGCCACCCACTGGGCTACAGCCTGGAGGACAGAACCCAGGTATATCTGGACATCTGGCCACAAGGGCCTGGCCTCAGCCAGAGCCACCCAAGGTCCAGGGTCTGGATAAGTTCCCCTCCTGGCTTGGCTAGAGGACAGGAGGCTCCCCAGGCTTGGCCTTTCCTGTCCCCAGAGCCCTCTCTTTATCGGACAGCAGTGTGCTGTCTTTTTTTTTCTTCACAGTGCTGGGAATGGAATCCAAGGCATTGCACAGGCCAAGCAAACATTCTTTCAGTGACTATACCCTTACCTGTTTCTGCCTCACAGAGCAGTCTAAGGGGCCTGCTAGCCTTGGCCAGACCAGGCCCTCCCATGCTCCATCCCCATGGGCAGGCTTCCAGTGCCCTGGGCGGATGGGCTCGTGCCTGCATGGCTGGGGCTCCCTCACCGACCTCTTCTGGCCCCACACCCTGTGCCCACTCCCAATCCTGCAGGCCTGTGTGTTGTGTGCACCTCTTGCTCCCCTGAGCCTCTGCTCCTCCACCCCCTCCCTCATGAACCCTGGGTGCAGTGCACACACTGCCCTGCTACCTGACCAGGCTTTGCTTCTCTCTAATTTTCATCACCTGTGATCTTTGTTTTACTTATTCGTCCCTCTGAGGCCTGGGAGTGCTGCTCAGTCCTTTGGACTCTCCCTGCACAAGGTGCATGCAGGTGCTGGGATGTGGCTATGCCGTTGTTCGGGGAGGGGCAGTGACACCACCTCAGGGCCCCTGAGAGCAAGCTGTCACTCTTCCCATTTTTTGGGACAAGGGGACAGAGACGGGAGCTGATGCAACACCTGCCTAAGGCCGCCAGCCTGGTGAGTAACAAAGCCAACCACAGTGCCTCCACATCCAAGAACGGAGGGTACACGGAGTTCCAGCCTGACCTCCGGGTTTCCCTAGAACTTAGGGCCCTGGGCAGGTGGCTCCAGGTCTCCCATGTGCAGATCTTCCTGAGGCAACCTGAGCCTGAGCCAGGCTCAGGGTGCGGGCATCTCGGAGCAGGCTCTGTACCAGAAACCCACCTCGGGCAGACCACGGGCAAGGGCCTCTGGGTCCTGCCACAGACCCCAAGGCTGATGGAGAGATGGTGCTCCAGGTGCTCACCCTGTCCCTCCCACAGGTGCACCCCACCACCCAGACTCACCCAACCAGGATGCCCTTGGAGCTGCGGATGAGGCCCACCAGCACCAAGAGGCAGATGATGACGTCAAGCAGCAGCAACCCCAGGTAGCCCAGCCACCTGTGGGCACAGGTGGGTGTGAGCCAGCCATGAATGGGGATGGGATCCAGGGAGAGGGGCAGAAGGGGCAGTCAGAGTGGGGCAAATAGCCTGGTCCCCACCGGTAGCTGCAGACTTGGGGACAGGTATGGGTTCTTGGGGAAAATGTCCCCTTGGCAGATTCCTGCCACTGCTGGGGATCTCCAGCTGCCCTGCCCTCACCTATGAGGCCTCGGGTGCTAGGTGCTGAGAACAGGGTGGGCCCAAGAAGGCCATGACTGCCCCGGGTGCCCTAGGACACAGCACTGGACCACACCTGTACCAGTCGCAGAGGTCCAGCTGCTCAGCCAGCATCTCCAGGGACACGCCCGGGTTCCTCCAGAAGGGGATGGCCTCGGCATAGCCCAGCAGGGTCTCCAGAAGGCCCTGCAGCCTCTGGACAGCCCGTAGGGGCTCTGGTTTCCCAGCCAGCTGTCGCTCCAGGCTCTGAACACTGGGCTCTGCCGTGCGGTTCAGGGCCACTCCTGTGTCCCACACCTGCCGCCAGGACAAGACGGAGCTGAGGCCCTAGGAAGCAGGCCAACCCACCCCCCACAGCCCACCCACAGCCCGTGGCCACTCACGCGGTCCTGCACCCCAGCCACCGTGCGGTTGGCATGGCGGAGCGAGTAGGTAGCCCGGTGGATGCCATCACTGGTCTCCCCATTGCCGTAGAATCCCACTGCGATGCCGGCGCTGGAGAAGACCAGGCTGTGAGGCGGGGCACCATTCTTGGCTCCACCCACCTGGTGGCCCCTCCCCACCCCATCCCCCACCCCCTGACTGCCGCCTCACCTGCAAACCAGCGTGGCGATGATGACGCACCAGGCAGTGCAGCAGCAGTCTGCATCCAGGTGCTCGTCGGTCTTGCGCTGCCGGCAACACAGCCAGAAGGAATAGAAGAGCAGGAAGAGGAGGTCCAGGGCGAGGCAGGCCAGGGCAGCCGCCCCCAACAGCAGCAGCGCCTGGGGGTAGGGGAGGCTGCTAGCGATTGTGGCCGGTACCCACTGCATCCTCCCCAGTCTGGGGAGGTGGCTCTGTCCCAGGCTTGCAGGACAAAGATAGAGGTGCCCAACACCTAAGTGACTGACGCTTCAGAGGGCACCGGGAACCCCGGACTTCAGGACCTGACCCCGACCCCACTTGGAGAGGCTGGGCAGGCACAGCCAGGCCCTGCCCCCTCCCCCGGGGGGACCTCTCACATGCTGGGCCCAGGGTCTAGGGAAGGGCAGTTGCCAAACTAGGCCCCAAGAAGAGGCTCGGGTGAGCGGTACTTAAGAACATGTAGTGACGCAGAGGGACTCGTGGGCTGGAGGGGCTGTGGCCGAGGAGGTGCCCTGATTTGCCTGGGCCTGTCTTCTCTACTGTAAAAGGGGTGAAGACAGGGGCACAAGGCTTAGTGCAGTCCTGACAAGTGTAGGGCCGGGCGGAGAGCAGGACTGGGGGCGGGCTGTAAGCACTGCTGCTGCCCCTGCCATCAGGCTGCTCCAGGGCAGTGCCCCTGCCAGGCCTCAGTCCTACGCGGGATGCGAGGAGGTGGAAATGCTGCTGCCTCCCCGTGTCCTCACTGACAGTGGAGCATTTTGCCATTTTGACGCTGCTCCCCAACAGTGCTGAGATTTAGGGGTTGTTAGGAAACAGGGCCTGCCGGGGGCCACAACAGAAGTCTGTGGGGTGAGCACTGCAGAGGCACTGTCCCAGCTCACACTAACTAGTCTAGGGGCTGTGAGGGACCACTGCCCAGATGGGGCCCCGAGGAGCTGTCCTTGGGACCGGCAGTGGGCACTGCATGGGGGAGCTGCACCAGGCGGGATGAGATGGAAGCTGCCCCTCCACACACGTCCCTCGGGGTGGCACCCACACCAGCTGCCTATAGCAACCCCCACTCGACACTCAGCTCTGCCGGCTGGCCTGGGGGCGGCAGAGCCCTCCTATCCCAAGGCAAGGCGTCCCCACAGGATGTGCGTCCCAAGCACCTGTCACGGGGAAGGAGGGTGACAGACCCCAGCCCCAGAGCTGTCTGTTGCTGAAGCAAGCGCTAGCCCCTCCTTCCCCTGACACCTCACTCTTCTGTTCACCTGGCCATGTGCTTTCACCAGGAAAAGAGCTTCAGAGAAGGACCAGAACAAGGGGCAGGCCCAGAAACTCCTTGTTCAGATGCACCTCTACTAGTGAGAGAAAATAATGGACGCTTCTCAGAAGAAGAAGTACAAATGGCCAATGAATAACATGAAAAAATGTTCAACACTGCTGATCATTAGAGAAATGCACATTAAAACACTGCGATTCCATCTCACTCCACAGAGGATGGCCACCATCAAGCAATCCAATAACAAATGCTGGAGAGGCTGTGAGGAAAAAGGAAACTTCTACACCGTCAGTGGGAGTGTAAACCAGTACAACCACTTCAGAAATCAGCGTGGAGATTCCTCAAAAACTAAAAGTAGAAATACATTTGACCCAGCCATGACCTTTCTAGGTATCTTCCCAAAAGAGTAAGGGGCATCATATCACAGTGACCCATGCACACCTGTGACCACACAGCACAATTCCTAATAGCTCGGTGAAACTGTGATCACCATTCCTACCGTAGGTCTCGACGTGGAGCGCGCTGAATACAAGAACATCAGCCTCGCTGTGTGGGATGTGGGTGGCCGGGGCAACATCTGGCCACTATGGCCCCCACGACTTGCAGACACCCAAGGCTTGAGCTTTGTGGTGGCCAGCAATGACAGAGTGGGTACGGGTGAGGCCATGAGGAGCTCATGAGGCTGAGGAAGAGCCCCAGGATGCCATCCACCTGGTGTTTGTCCAGCAGGACCTCCTCGGCACGATGAATGCAGCTGAAGTCACACACAAGCTGGGGCTGCACCCGCTACACCCCAGGAACTGGTCCACTCAGAGCACCTGTGCCACCAGCAGGAACAGGCTACGAAGGGGTGGCCTGACTGTCTAGTCAGCTCCAGAGCCAGAAGTGAACCAGAGCCCCCTCCACTTCACTTCCTTCTCTCTGCCTGCACTTTCCTGTCATACCGCAAACGTGGGGCTCGCGGTCCCGAGTGCCAGAAGCTGTCTCCATATGCTGGGCACCATGTGCACGCGCTGTGTTGTGTTGCCTATGTGCAGATGCAGCCAGCAGCCCCCTTTTGATTCAGTCTAAATAGTTTGTTTCCACTGAGGCAGCTTCTGGTATTCCTATGCAATATTACTCAGCTTTTTTATTGTAAAAAAAGAATTACTTATCAGTACGGAGAAGGGATTTGGGCAGGTGGGCACCTGCTTCCAGGAGCCACTGGGTTGTAGATTGGTGTCTGGATCCATTTGGTGATTAGTTTTAAATCCGAACTCAGCGCATTTAAAAAAAAGTCAGAAATACAAGGAGACCACCTGAACACACAGTATAGAGACCATGCCTAGGGTAGGCTCTGTAGTTTGGCCCAGATGCTAGTTCATTGGGTCAGCTGTTCCTCTGGGAACTTGAGAGATGGTGATGAAAAAAACGCCATCCACTGCCTAGTCATAGTAGAGGCCCCGTGACCCACCCGTCTTTGGGGCACCTGCTTTCTAGAGCACTGTGCTTGTCCTCATTTGCCCACACTCACCCTGGGGCAGGCCAGGAGGGCCATGACAGGGAAAGGGCCAAGCCTCACCCTCATCTTTCATCAGTGTGCAGCTGGAGTGGCAGCCCATGCTCCCAGTGCCCGTTCGGACACACTAGCCAACATCCGGGTCTCTGGTGGGAGCGCGTGCCCGCTAGGTCAGTCAGTCCACTCCAGACCTTGGTCCTGGAATGCACCCTGACTCCATCTGAAGTAGCTTCCTCCCTCAGCCTGCAGGAGTGCCATTTGCCATTGAAAAAGATGACCTGCACTTTTCTCTTTTGTATTTTGATAAACACTGAAGAAGCTAGAGCTATGAAATCTATCTTGGAGAAGCTTCAGAACTGGTTTATTTGGTATCATAGAACCTCTTACTGCTTTCAGTACACCATTAGTAATCAAGCATTTTGCATACTTGTTTTCAGTTTTAATTTTGACAAGCACTGTAATTATGGCTAGTAGAATAAAGTCTCTTAACTATTTTTTAAAAAAGGATAAACTTGAGTTATTTGTAGGAAAACGGATGGATCTTGAGACCATAATGTTAAGTGAAATAAATCAGACACACAAGCTTAAATACTGCATGTTTTCTCTTATATGAGAAAGCCAAACATAAATAAAGAGCAAAATAAAAGATATAATAGGGGTGGAGAGAAAGTTTCCTAAAGGAGTTTTGAGTTCATTAATCAAAACACTGTGGAGCCAGGGATTTAGCTCAGTGGCACCGCGCCTGCCTTGCATGCGCACAGTCATGAGTTTGATCCCTGGTACCAAAAAACAAAACCAAACCAAACCACAACAAACAAAAAACCACTGTGGTTCTATTTCTGCATTTTGTGATGTTTGGAGCATCTGATACCTTTTAAAAAGTGTATAAGCTTTATACTTCACTAACCAGGGTTCTCTCTCCATTCATGATAATACTACTTTATATTTTTGTCAAATAAACCTTTTAATGCAAAAAAATAAAATCTAGGGCCAGGGATTTAGCTCAGTGGTTTCGCCGCCTGCTGTGCAAGCACAAGGACCTGAGTTCGATCCCCAGTTCCAAAAAAATAATCTACTCCTTTATACCAGAAAACAACACAAAACAAAAAAACAAATGCACCCCTACTGGCCATGTGGCTAGAAGCACTCATGTTTCCTGTGCCAGGGTGGGGGCTGCACCCTACACTGGGGAAGAACCACAGAAACTGCTGAGCCCACGAGGCTGCAGTCACAGACTACATCCCTCACCCCTCCACTGCCCAGGCCCAGTGGCTGTCCAGCAAGGAGCATTCTGGGCACTGCGAGGGCCTGGAGGTGGGCACCTGCCCATGGCTTCAGCCTGGAGCTGTCTCCCACTGCCCTGCACTTACAGGCTGGGTAGGGACGAGGCTAGTTCCAAAGCCCAGGAGACTGACCCAGGCAAGGCACAGGGGATTGAGGCAGAGCAGGCCGCAGCAGGAGTCCCTGGGGGAACAGCCGGAGCCAGTCACAGCCCTTGTACCCCGGCAACACCACAGCCATCTCGTACCAAGCCCAGCACACGGTCGGCTGTATACATTAGAGCCTGTAACAGCAATGTCCTCTCACTTCCCAGATCCACACTCAGCCGCCTGCAGCTGGGCACAGACCAGAGGTGCCAACCATACCAGCTGGCAACCACAGGCCCTGGGGGGATCCCTTCCCGATAAGTGAGAAGCAAAGGACAGAAAAGAGCTGTGAGGGCAGCGAAATGCTCTCAGTGGCCAGGCTCCAAAAGCCCCACGTCCATGGCTCTGCACATGCATAAACAGGGCCACCCTGGGCTTCCCATGATTTGGGGGACTGCACTAGCCAGCCCCATCTCGGCCCTGAGCCAGCCAGCCCCCTCCATCAGGCCCTTGCTCTGTTCTAACTCACAGGCCTCTAGGGCCTTGGCTGGGGTGGCCCTAGCTCACCTGCTTGCCTGGCCCTGCTCACTGAGGGATGCACCTCTAGGAGGGGCCCTGGAACACGTGTCCCCTAAGCGAAACCCTTCTGAGGGGAGAGAAGGCTGGGGAGTGAGGAGATAAGGGCTTAACCCCAGACATGTTGCAGACAGAAGGAAAACAGGTCCCTAGTCACTGGCTCCTGCAGCCACCCAGGCTGGCCTGTCCAACCAGAGGACACATCAAAGAGTCCACAGGCCTCGATCACATCCTCAGTGGCGCCAGGACCACACATACGCCCACTGGCCAGATGGAGAAACAGATACAGAAAGATAAGCATCAGGCTGATGGGGACCTAGGGAGAGGCGAGCCTGTTTCTAGAGGGCATTGCCCCATGCAGACAGCTGATGCCCAGCAGCCAGGGTGCTGCAAGGCAGCCCAGGGCGCCAGGCACAAGGTGGCCAAGGGGGGTAT